AATAATAAATAATAAATAATTACTAATGAATAATAAATAAAAACTAACATACAACAAATAAAATAAAATGTTACAGCTTTTGCAACCATTTACAATTACATTATTAGAGCAATTTTTTTTATTATTAAAAATCAGCTTTTAGCTCATTTTTCTTTGAATTCGTGTTAATTTAAGGTTTTTATAAAATATGTAAATAAATACATACTTATATGTTAGGAGGTTAGACTGCAACATTGCATTTAAGCTTGGTAATTTCTTTTAGTTTGGGGTTGCTTGAAATTAGCTGTGAGTCACTGTGCAGAAATCAACCCTAATTTGCGACTATCGGTATAGCGGGTATCGATATATATTTCTTCGCTCTCAGTTTTGCATCGATATTTATCATTCATTCGAACGCCAGATGTCAGCTGTTGCTTGATCAACTTTTCGCTTGGAGTTGATTTTTCTTGTTGTCTTCAATTTGATTTTGACTGCATTAATATGACGCGTGAGTTTAAAAAAGAAATGTGCATAAATATATACAATTTTGTATCGTGCGCTCATCCTATTTCACTCCCTCTTGCTCTCGGCAGGCAAATGGTCAAACAAGGAGACGAAGCTGTTGCTGCGCCTCTACCTGAAGTACAAGCGAGACTTCCGAGAACGTCACAAGAAGCGAGCAGAGATCTGGCAACATGTTGTGAGAGAGTTTGAACAGCATGGCTTTAAGGCCAACTACATAATGCTGGATCGCAAGTTTCGCAACATGAGCCGCACCTACTTCAACATCAAGCGTCAGAAGAAAGACGATGATCCGAACTGGGAGTACTTTAGCGCCATGGACGAGATCTATTCAGGTACGTTGCCCGAACCGCGTAACATAACGATTACATACGAAGAGCCGCCCGAGGAGGAGGAGAGCCAGCAGCTCTTTGAGATCAAAACAGAGGAGCCTGATGTCAGCTCATCTGAGATACTACTGGATGAGCCTAACTTTGAGGAGTTGGTCTCTAGCCGCATCAAAGAGGAGCAGCCAGATATCGATATGGAGAGTAGGAGATTACTGCAAGCTCTGGAGGCTGAGCGTGTGGAGGAGCTGCGCGCCATAAGAGTCACCTTGGAGGAGGCAAATGAAATACAGCGACAACGGAACACCCTGCTGCAAGAGCGAAATGAGCTGTTGAGGCGCTATCTTGGCAATAATATCAAATGTACTAATCCGCATCTATATAATTTAGTTAACTAAATTAGCATTACTAATTGATTTACCTTCACCGACTACTACTTTATTTATTTATTTTTGTATGCATATTATATACATATATTATATGCATGTGTATGTCTGATTTGTATTTGTATATTAACGAGAATGATATAGAAATCTCTGCTTTAAGGGTGGTTTTTTGTATCTGACTATGAGTATGGCAAATTTATAAGGGCTTTGTTATATAGTTGATAAATTTATGTAGTAAATATTTGACTGATTTCAAATTAAACAAATTATATATTAATTATTAATTAATTAAACAAATTATATATTTATATCAATAACATTTTTTCTATTTAAGTTATACCTACAACAAAAATGACATATCTATATATATTTATATATGACTGGAAAATTAGTGACCTAGATAATATAAGAATAATCATATTTTTAATAATTTTCATCTTTATACTTTTATTATATATTAAATTAAAATTCTTGCAGATTATTATTACATATTTCCTCTAGAAATGAAATTTAATACATAAATAAAAATAAAATAATTTGAGCAACTGAGTTGGCGAAATTTTTAGCTAAATTACACAAGTTGTAAGTTATAAAATGGATCCATTTAATATATATTTTGAGACGTATGCGACTTGTAGATTTAACTTAGGAAATATATAACCAAGTGTATATGTAAATGATCTAAGGCCGTTTCAATTGAAACGGTAAATGTAAAAGTCAAATCGAACCAGACTTTGTGTATGGGAAATTATTTAGGGAAGAGTCTCTCTTCTAAGATTTCCCCCTTGGAGTGCACTGGTGAGAAATCTCTCAAAGAGCATTCAAAAATTCAATCAGACGACTAATATTTGTAGTTTGCCAGGTAAATAAAAACAAAATGCATCATCGACTAAAATTTTAGCAAAAATTAAAAATGAAAAAGGTAAAAAACTGTCGCCTAACTTAATTAAAATTGATTTATTAATGTGGCGACATCGCTGATCAAAGGCGCATGACGTCAGCTCATGGGATCTGTTTGTTTGTCTTGCTGTCTGTCTGTCAGACAATCCCAGGCCCAAGCTCAAGTCCAAGCCATATCCAAATCGAGTCTGGAAATCCGATAAATATACGCTAAGTGGACAGCTAATTAGCGCAATTAATATGTTAAATATAAAAGCCGGTCACTAAAACAAGAAACGCTGAGAGACACGCTAATGAAATTAACATAGCGTGGTTAACAGTTTTATCAAATTTGAAAACAAATTTTCCTCAACTTTGCATGAATACATGAATAAATTGATGGGTTCTCTTACTGAGATTTACAGAGGTGTCTCTGTGCGATCTTTTGAGACAGTTGAATACCCTTTCAGCAGGCGATGTCACGGGTATTCCGGTTGGGGATGAGGCACCAAGCAACCAAAAAAAAAAAAAAAAGAAAGGCTTTTCAAGAAGGGAGTAAACACAGTTTACAGCTATACAAAGATATGACAAAAGATTGCCAAGGAGAGCGTGTGAAATGTTTAAGGATGAGACACAAAGGAAAATGCAATACGAACTGGGGTTTGTATAAAAGTGAACAGAATATAAACTTGCACTGATGTTACTTTAAGAACTTTTAAAAAAATCATTTCAATATGTAACGGCATATCTCAATTTTAAATATTCACTATAAAGTAAGGTAGGGTATATGCATTTTCATATTACTGCTATTTCTTTTTAAACTGTTAAATCACTTCTAATTTTATTTCTCTGTTAATTGTGATTACCAAATGAATGAGTCGGCGTAAAAATGTGCACGACTTTTTAGGGACAGCGGAAAACTACGAAAGCCTAAGAGCCGATCATAAATGAGGTGAACTAAAGGGTATGTGGGCTATGCAGAAGCAACGAGCTAATTTGTGACAGTGTGGAAAATTGTGAGGAAAGTGGTTTTTGATTAGAGCCATTCTTCTACTTAAATGAGGGTATTCAAATCTTAAGCTGAGCTCGATTTCGTAGTTGTTTCTTAATTGGAAGCGATCTCTATTTAAATGAGGGTAGTCCATTTTAAGTTAAGTGGAAAAGTTGCACTATATTTCTGTTTATAGTTTTTATTGTTTTGGAGTCAGTTTAAGTTTGAGTGAGGCCTATATTAGGATGGCCTGAAATGTGTGCAAGTATTTTAAATTTATTCGTTTTTCTGATTCATTAATGAGGGTAAGTTGAGTGACAATTTTTGACTGTATCAGGGCTAGTCACTATTTAAATGAGGGTATTCCATTTGAAGTTCAGCTCAACTTTTAAATGGTTATTATGTAATTGGAGATATACTCTCTATGAGTAGGGGTACTTCATTTACAGCTGAGTTTAGTTCAGTTAGCTAGTTATTGCTTTATTAGGGATAGTCCACATATGAATGAGGGTTTTCCATTTTAAGTTCAGCTCACATAACACCTTAACTTTTACATAGTTATTATTTAAATGGGTTTCATCTTTGTCTGAGTTGGGGTATTTAATATTAACTTTAGTTCAAATATTAGTTTAACTTTTAAATAGTTGTTATTTAATTAGAGATAGCTATATGGTAGGGCTATTCCATTTTGAGATGTTTTTTTGTATTAGGGATAGTCTGTATATAAGGGTGCTATTCCATTTATAGTTGAGTCAAGTTGTTTAACTGGTTTTTAAATTTTGGTAGTTGGAAATTTGATCGACTAATTGGAAGCGGGGGCACTACGTGGAGCTATGGGGGAATCTGCTTCAATTAGACTTCCTTTTACAATTTCAACCGAATGTCTGCCGGCGGTTCTCTCATTAACTCAACGGTGCGGACAGAGCTCTCGAATTTGTTCAGGCAGGCAGGAGGAGGCTCGCAAGGACTCCTCCCTCTGCCTCCCTCTCTCACTCTATCTGTCGTGTCTCGGCTGGCTGGTGGGGTATGCACGGAATGCTCGTGCATTTCAGCCGGGGCCCATTGCCAATTTCCGGGGTACCAAAAAACGGCCGTTGGGCGTAAATTAAAATTAAATTCAAATGGAAAAGTGTCGTCTGTGTGGACTGCTCGACTCTCTGTCGACTGTCGACTGGCCATTCCCAACGTTTGTCCGTCTATCTGTCTGTTCGTCTGCCCATCAGTCCATCTGTGTGTCCGTCTGTCTGTCCGTCCGTTAGTCGGCAACATTTTAGCAATTATATTCGCGTTCGGGCGACATTACAACGGCAATTACACGCAGAAGGCAGCCGCAACGTGGGCGAACGAACATGGGCCATGGGCAGGTCCTGTTTCAGGTTCTGCAGTGCTGCTGGCATCCCTGGCATCCTTGGCATCCTTGTCAGTGTCACGTGAAGCGGCAACGTGCTCAACCGACTGACGGACACACACGCACGCACACACACATCGAGTCAGAGAGTCGTCTGATGGACGACATCAACGTCAACGTCAACGTCGACGCTGTCATTGACAGGCGAGTTGCTCCCTTTTGCCGATCCTGTTGCAGGTCGAGGTCCTGCTGCTGCTCCTGCTGCTGCCCCATTCCCAGAACGTTTCATTGATTCTATGAGGAATGCGAATTGCGAATACCTTACTTTGCCTAAGCACACAAATTATTCGCAATTGTCAAAGCATTAATTATTTCGCTGACTATTTGTAGAAATTCCGTTTCAATTCCACTCGTTCCCCATAATCCATTTTATATGAAGGTATACAGCACAAATGTTGGCTCTCATTTTCATTTATTTACACAATTGAAATTTCGGAAATTCTGTAACAGTAACTGTACAGTAACTGTAAATTTCAATACTATTCCATTTGTCTCAAGCGAAGATTGTGTTTCATTTAAATTTAACTCATAGTCTTTCATTTTCATTTGTTTTTATACCCTGAACCCATTGAAAATGGGAAATCAGGGTATAATGGTTTTGTTGAAATGTATGTAACAGGCAGAAGGAGGCGTGGCAGACCCCACAAAGTATATATATTCTTGATCAGGGCGACGAGCTGAGTCGATTTGGCCCTGTCCGTCTGTCTGTCTGTCCGTCTGTCCGTCTGTCCGTCNTTTAGTTTTGGTAGATGGCGCTGCAGCAGTGAATCTATTTGAGTTTTGCCAGCGCCACTAGCAGGAGTGAGGTGGCCTAGTGTGTTAGCAGCATGACGCTCGACCGAGGAGTCGCGGTTCGAATCCCGATCGATGCAACTGATGTTAATTTTTTTTAATTGTTTCAAAATATTTTTATATTTTATTAAATGAGTTTGGTATTTTATTTATATTTTTAGATACATCGAAATTGAAATTTCAGCCATACTAAATGAGCATTTTTATTTGTTGGGTTCAGGGTAGTATCTAGTCGAGCACTCTCGACTAGAGTTTTCTTACTTGTTTATGATTGAAATGATCCAAAGTGAGTGAACCTTATTTAATTCGGTAACAATGCTATCCAATTATAACTGTGGCTTCGTTTCCATTTGTTTCAAAGGGAAAACTGCGCTTCAGTTTACTCTTTATATACCCCATTTCAATTCCACTTGCTCCCATTATTAAATGGAAGGCAATAGACTCTGATGGATTAGCCCCGCTTCAATTCCATTTGTTCCTCTGTTCTTTTTGTCATTATGTTTTATCGTCAGTTTGTTTCACACATGATATTACACTCATGGGCTTTTCTTTTTACCTGATGTACACATGCCCCAAGACAAGCTGATGTACTTCGCATACTCTAAACTTTTTTTGTAATAAAACTGAGCAGTTAAAATATGAAATTTGTTGTGTTTGTGCGTGTGTGGGTGGGAGCGTGTGTATGCGTATGTGTGCGTGGGTGTGCGGTGTGTGGTAAATGAAATAAAATAAATGTATGAAAGCAATAACCAAGCAACATTACATAAAAATCTACTTGGCCCAGCTCCTAATGACTCTCCTTCTCGTCCTCTGACAGACGTGAGCCTATTTATGTGTGTGTGTGCGTGTGTATGTGTATGTAATATGGCCGACACTTCCGTTCGACATGTTGCACATGTTGCTGCCGTTTCCGTTGTGCCATACACGCTGGCCACGCCCCCACGCCCCCACGGCCCCCTGGCTCAGCCCGTTGGCCCCGTTGGGCAGAGGCC